CTGAGATGTATACCCCTTGGGCATATCATGTAACTGTATCCACATATCAATCGTATTCAGTTGTATCTCCCCGGGCAACATTCCTTCCCCGACCTCCCGGCACACCAAAGCGTTATTCTCAAACGCCCAAGGACCACCATTCAGAACCTAATCCATATCTGTTTTATGGAAGAAAACAAATAAGAATAAACCCTTCTGAATCTCCGTTACCTGTACCCCTCTAACCGGCTGCCACATTGATGCAAGAACCTGCCGCATGAAATCGTGTTTAATCATCTTCTGCGTGAGGAAACGTCCTACCACCCTTCACGTCTCCTCCTCAGTCCCAGGGTCGTCCGCTTCACCCTCTACGACCGGCACAAAGGCAGCAGCATCCTCCTCGAAAGCCCAGTCCGCCCAGCGCTGCGTGACTGCCTCAACCTCGGCCGCTAGTTCCGCCGCTGTCGGCTGCCATGGGGGGTTCCATGTGTGCATCTGTTCGCCGCTGGCATAGGCTCCATTAATTCATCTGTTTGCCGCTGCATGTCGCTAACCCCCACGTCGTTTCGTTGTCGCAGTTCGCCGGCCATCTTGCCGGATAAAATCACCGATCGTTGTTGAAAACCTAGGAAAACCTAGTAGGACGGCAAAAACCCTAGAGACTCTAGAGAGAAAACTTTTTTCGGATCTAAAACTTAAACTTAGGACAACGTAATTTGGGTTGCATTGCATTTAGTTGGGAATTCAAACTAAAATGAAGCCCACAATTCAACCCAATATTAATAAGACTTCTAAATGTGTCCATGAGGGTTGGTTTATTAGTATTGAAATTGTGAACTTCTAGAATATAAATTGTGTTTTTAAGTTTTGTGAATTTGTGAATACAATAACGTAAAGTATATCGTGTTCCGCGGTGCATAATGAATTATGCACCGAGCTTCTAAACGACGTTGTTTTGTTTAATGAAAAGAAACGGCAATTATTTTGCGTCGTTCCGCAAAAAGTAATTTTGTTATTCAGTTTCATTTTTTATACACTGTAATTTTATTTCAACACAACTACATTTTCATTTCGATATTATAACTACAGTTTCATTCGATATTTATATACTCAAATATGTGAAAATGTTATTTTATTTTATTTTATATACACTATAGTTTCATTAAAACACGACTACATTATCATTTCGATATAACTACAGTTTCATTGCACAATATACACTCAAATATGTGAAATGTTATTCAGTTTCATTTTATATACACTGCAGTTTCATTTCAACACAACTACAGTTTCATTTCAATTCAATTGCAGTTTCATTTGATAATATAAAAATAATACGTGAGGCATTGTCAGTTTAGATACACTGTAGTTTCAGTTGGTAATTAATACACCAAACATGCGCGCTCTGTTAACTATAACGACGCGCCATTTCTTTACTTAAAGAAATGGCGCCATTTTTGGACCGCATGCCACAAAGCTTTGTGGACTGCGGTCCACAGTATAATTGTACATACAATACAGGCCGGGTCAATCACTAATTGTGAATTTTTAAAAGGTAAGTTGCAAACATTTAGTATGTAAAGCTAGCTTCTTGTTGTCATATGGCTTTCGGGGAGGAGGAAAACGGATATGGATCCGCTGCATGATTGGGGTTCGACAAGTAGGACAATCATTCATTCCCAGTCTTTCGTGAAGCTCACTGCACTCTTCGCAAAAATCCAGATGAGCGGATGGGAGGAGAAATACTGTTCTATTCACACTCAAAACACATAACACATTCCTTTTCGCGTCGTTTCATTTCTGCTGCAGATTCAGCTTTCCCAGAACTTGAACCACTTTCAGCCCCCAGTTTAAGTGCAGAGATTCGAGCTCTTAGCTCCTTCATGCGTTCCTCATACTTAACCCTATTCTCTTCTGTCTTTGCTATCAACTTATCCACCTCTATTTTTGCCTTCTCATTCATTTCTTGCCTTTCCCTCCTCAGCAACTCGGCCTTCTCCAGAAGCTTTATCTTCTCCCTCTCTTCATTCTGTCGGAGAACCTGCAGAAAGATAAGTTAACACCCATATATGACAGTTGTCCAAAATTGTATATATGAGCCTCAAGGCAAATCAGAGAAAAACTGACATTATGCAATTAATAATAAGCATATATATACCTCAAAACTCATGTTCGCGCTTCCTAGCTTTATCTATTTGTTGCTGCAACTTGGCTGATTCGGGCTTGAGACGTGCAAGATCTTCCTGCAAAAACCTTCTCTCCGCCTCCCGATTTACTGCACTGCTTAAGCAACTCCTGTTCCCTCAGCTTAATCTCCTGCAAATTTTGATTTGGGGAAAGGAAAGCCAGTTTTGAATCCTCTAGGTTTTTCAGCAGCATAGTGTGTTCCTCCTGGAGCTTAAGAAGAGTAGTAGTAGCCGTTTCCATCATGTACTTAACATTGTTTAGTGCAACATCCAACTCAGAAATGTTCTTCGCATTATGAGTGCACTTATCAGCTGTTGCAGCCTCCTTCTCCTGCCTCAACATCTTCTTCTCTTCATTGTTTCTCCTCAGCTTCTGAGCTGCCTGCCCGACCTTCGTGCTAACATTTCATCTTTATCTGTTGTTTTTGGGGTTTTTGCAGGTTTTCTTTCTGAGATAATAATAATGCTCCTACTACTTTGGGTTTTCATTTTCATTGTCACCTTCCTTGAGCTTGCAGGGGCTTTCCCAGTTGCCTTTCTTCCCCGTTTGCCTCCTTCCAATTCTGGAACGATGGTGGTAACAGTAGGCATATCATACACAGTTTTCTCCTTCTTCCCCGCCATTATCCCCTTCTGCAGAAACATGTCTTCTTTGTTGGAAGACGAAGATGATGATCCTTTTGGATTGGTGGAGCTAAAATGGTTTACAGACTGTGCTTCCGAGGCTGCTTGTATGAGGTTGAGATGGAATAAGAAGAGTAGCCATATTGCATCAGACACACTTAGATATGGTTTTACTTGTTTCACCACATTCACCATTTCCACCAACGCATAATTCGCCAAGTTTTCTACACTGGCCAAATATGTAGCGCTGAGAGGGATCAAACTCCTTCTGCTCAGCCAGGAACGCCATGGCAGCCGCTACAATGTTTGAAGTGATATCGTAATAGTTCCCAATATAAAACCCGCTATTCAGCACGCCCCATTCTGCCTGCTCCATACTGTAACCATTTGCAGCAATCTTATTGATTGCAGTCTGGAAACAATCCTCAATTTGTGAATTACAAGTTACGTTCTTGAAGCTGGACTGCCAGGGGCTTCTTCCCATTCTGCAGGGCTAGCTTTCTTCTTCTTTTTCTTTTTCCTCCTTCACTTCAGATGATCTCTCCTTCCATGCCTTCACCTCAAGCATTTGTTTGTGGAGCGATTCTGCTACCGTTTCATAGTTCTGCAAATCCAAATCAGATAGAACTAGGATATCGTCTTTGGAATTGGAAGTCTTTATTATCATCTTCCCCTTATTGCTGTTGTCTTCCATCACTACCATCTTTCCCTTGCATGCCCTTGTCGCCTTTGTTGTTGCCTTCACCGCCTCTCTTGCGTTTGGGTTAAACCATTTTTGCTGGGAATTCAAACAACTACCTCCATCTTTAGCTGCAACTCGATCCAAATACAACACCAAATTCAATTCTAATTAAAATACAGAAACATACATAAAGATTAGAAAAATAAGATGTATGTTTACTCTATCTTACCCTAAATAAATAAATAAAAATAAATTTCTCATTTTCATGGATAAATAAACAAAGAAAGAGGTGTAACATATATAAGATTCATAGAGTAGAAATTCACGAATTTTTTTAAAGGTACTCAGAGAGAAAACCTGAATACCTTAATTTGGGTTCTATTGCAAGTGTAGAATGGAAAAGAACTAGTCCTTACTCCTTTACAACAAAATCACATGCAGGTATGAATGAGCAAGCAAAAGGGCTCCCGTGCATTTACTCCTTCCCGTGAATAATGAGGTTGAATCTAAGCCCCACGTATCTCTTGATCGAACGAATCAGATCAATAGCAAAAATTAAGCGCGAATTGCTCATTAAGGGCATTTTTGTCCTTTTGATTATATTAAAAAAAAAAATCTGTTCTTCTTCTTCTTCGAGCGTTTTCAAAATTCACCATTGATTCCTAATCTTCTATATTTCCTAATCTCAGACGAATTTACGATCTCTACGGAATTGGCAATAAGATCTATTCTCTTCGTCGTTCAATATCATATTCGTCAAAATAAACCCTAAACCCATCAAAAACGTCAACCGAAGAACAATGGAAGAATTCGATCGAGGTATTGCCCAAATTCTATCGCTTTTTTGGAATTAATTTTATCTGCTCTTGTATTGGCATCATTCTTGTCTTAATTACACGCACATTAAGCATGCAACTTAACCACCGAATTACTGAGCTACTTTAATTAATCCGAGCCTAGAGCCTTACGCACGTAGATGATTAGGTAGCCGCATGATAATTTTTAAAAATGCACATATTACTGTTTTCCTCACACATGTTATCCGTTGAGCACACGCACATTAATTCCTTTCCAGACGCATGTTATGTTACTGGACTCTCTGACGCACGTTAAGTAATGACATAATATTTTAACAAACACTCACGCATATTAACTGTTCAACATGCGCACGTTAACTATTACCCTGAAGCACGTTAATTTTTCAATTGCCGCACATACTCTTTTATTTTATAAATCTGCCATATTGACAAAGATCTGTTTAACTTAACGCATATTAAGTGTTCACCTTACGCACGTAGAGGCTTGCAACAACACAATCATAACATCATGCTTATACGTTACAGTTCCCAGTGACTTTCAATCTACCAACAACCCCAGTTTGAGTCCCAGCAGCAGCAGCAATGGTCATACATTGACCATATCTCCTGGAATGACACAATATTGGACTCCTCACTGTGAAGATGAAATCAGACCAGCAGTAAACATGATTTTTAAAACATTGGATGCTGGTATTGAATTCTACAATCATTATGCTGCCAAAGTCGGGTTTGACACGAGGTCTAGTTCCGTCGTTACAGCACGTGACGGGACCAAAACTCAAAAGCAAATCGTTTGCAACAGAGAAGGATTTAAGAATACAGGAGCTCAACATTCTCACTCGCAGTCAAGTGCAGATGCAGGAAGGTCCTTCCCGTCCAAAGCGGCGAAGGGTTTCAAACAGAACTGGTTGCAGAGCTAGGATTATGTTTAAGTACATTGGAGCAGCTGGGTACCAAGTTACAACTTTTATTGAAAAACATAATCACAGCATGTCTTCGGTTCTGGCAAGGCAGTTTCTAAAGGAAATAGAAACATCTCCAGTGTTCACCAGAAGTTTATACTCAACTGCGCTAAAGCAAATATTGGAGCATCAAAATCAGACGGTTTATACAGTCAGATTGTGGGGGATTACTCTGAAGTTGGAGCAACTGTAGTGGACTTTAAAAATGTCAGAAGGGATCTCAGAGCATACATATTGGGAGCTGATGCACAAATACTGGTGCATAATCTTATTAGAAACAAGAGATGTGCCCTGCATTTGCTTTTGACTACGAGGTTGATGAAGATGAGCAGATGAGCAGACTGTTTTGGGCAGATCCAATGTCAAAAAGAATTTTGCTGCATTTAGAGATGTTGTCTCTTTTGATGCCACATAGTCAACAAACATGTATATACTATTCTACTCCCATTCTTGCGTACGTTTCATTAATTAATACACATTTAGCATTGCCTGATCTGTTGAGACATGTTAAGATTTAGACACGTTCACTGTTTTATTGAAAAAGAGTTGAAATATAAATAAGTGCACATTGTCGTTTATACCACGCATTTTAAACGCTACTGTCTCGCATATTAATGCAGAATTTACAGAATTAGACCTCAATTACATATGTGTGCTATTTTAATACTTAATATGCGTTACTCTAATTCTCTAAGTGCGGTAGTTTGACACCTGCATACTGTGATGACGCTTTTTGTCTTGTAGGTACGATATGGTTTTTACACCCTTCACCGGAGTTGATAACCATAAAAAATGTATAACATTCGGTGCTGGACTACTGTTGAAAGAAGACATTGAGTCTTATGTTTGGCTATTTGAAAAATTTAAAAAGGCAATGGGTATGGAACCAAGAATAATTGTCACCGATCAAGATCCAGCTATGAAAGTGGCGATTCCAACAGTTTTCAAGCAAGCCAGGCATCGTTATTGCATGTGGCACATCATGTGTAAAGTTGGGGAAAAGGTGGGTCCTACGCTGAACAAGAATGAGGAATTTAGGAACAAACTGAACTTAATCGTTTGGACGTCATCTTTGGAACCTCCTGATTTTGAGAAGCAGTGGAGAGAGCTCATGGAAAAGTACAACTTAGTCGAACACAACTGGTTTAAAACTATGTTTGAGGCTAGAAAGCATTGGATCCCAGCGTATTTTAGAGATGGCTTTATGGGAGGACTACTCAGGACAACTTCTCGTTCCGAAAGTGAGAACTACACGTACAGCCGTTTTACTGGTCCCCAATCAAGCCTAGTTGAATTCATGATGAACTTTGACAGTGCTCTTAAATTACAACGTAACACAAATGCAAAGCTCAACAGTGACAACGAAGGCTACAATCCAGATATGAAGACGCCTCTGGGATTGAAAAGCACGCTTCAATCGTCTACACCATTACTGTTTTCTATCAAGTTCAGGAAGAAATATGTGCCTCCTGTTGCAAATGTATGGTGTTGAGTGTTAGAGAAGACGGTGGAATGTTGCACTATGATATTATGGATGGAAAGAACAAAAGATTTACTGTGGTGCACAATGTAAATGACCATGAGGCCAAATGCAGTTGCAAGATGTTTGAGATGGTTGGACAGTTGTGTAGACACATATTTGTGGTCTTTAGAGACCTTGAAAGGATCCCTCTGAAGTACGTGGTTAATCGGTGGACTAAGGATGCATCTTTAAAAGCTACATTTGAAATAGATAGTGTGATTTACGATCAGAATGGACCAAAGGATGAAAAGAAGATGTTGCTGAACAAAGTGTGGTCTGATATACACTGTTGTATGGATCTGGAAGGTTCAAACATAGAGCAATTGACTGCATTTTCCCAAGTGATTAATGAACAGAAACAGCTGCTACTGTCAGGAAAGGAGAAATTGTCCCCTCAGCACAGCAGGAGGACTGTTATAGAATCATATTGTGGATCAACAGAAATTTCAGAGATCAACATACTTCCACCGAAACATGCAAAGAACAAGGCAGCGGCAAGCGTATCAAATGCAGCAAGGAGTTGGCAATGGAAAAAGAAGAGGGCAGGAGGTGCAATTTTTGTGGTGTTAGAGGAGATCACCATGACACCAGGACTTGCCCACTTAACCTCAAAAATAAGGACAAGCAAAAGGGTAAGAAAAAGGCATAGCAGACTATTTTTTCAACGCCTTTACAGTCGAGAATGAAAATGGATAGCAAATATGAAACACAACTACTTAGTTAACTCATTTCAGAACGCTTTTTACAGTTGAGATACTTGAATTTAATGTCCAGGTATTACTAGTTTTTGTTTTTATCACTGATTTGTGTTTAACAATCACTGCTACTAGCTTAATGTGCGTGTTATTACTACTTTACCTGCGTGCAGTTAATTCTTAATATGCGTTGATTACACTTTTAAAGTGCGCTACATTAAACCTTAATGTGCGTAGTACAGAAACAGAATGTGCGTTAGTTTATGTATAGAAACTTTGGTCCGTGGTAAATGCCAACGTCTTTACATGCGTTGATTAACATTTAACTTGCGCGACATTAAAGCTTAATATGCGTACAAAGGCAAATATTCAATGATAAAAAAAATAGATCACATAATAGACATAAAATGATAACATATAAATTTTATTCATTAATAAATTGTATGACGAAAATAACAACAAATAATGACATAATACGCATAAAAATCTTGATATTTTCGTCGTTATTCATCCTTATTACGCAGCCTCCTCATTGATTAAATCCTCATTAGCCAAGTTTCCAACAGGAGCATCAGGCACCTGTTCATCCATCAAATCGTGAAAGTTACTAAACTGTAAATACATCAATAAAATTATATATAAAAAGGGGAAAAACAATGTAAGTATGCAGTAGATCACCTCTTGATCGAAATTATAATCTTCTCGGTCATAAGCATATGTTGGGAACTCAGCATCTTCTTTCAGTAATAATGCACCAGTTCTCTCACAGAACATCAGCATATACCAGAGACTAGATGTCTTGTTTCTGTAGGTATTATAGACCACGTCAAATATACTGAGTAGATAAGCTTTTCCTTCCACAAATCTGTTGCGCCTTTGCGCAAACAATTGTGGAATGTGCATATGAATAAAAGTCCCCTGAAATTATTTAAAAAAAAAACATATGCATCAACAGTAAATTTTATAAATATAAAATATTAAGATTTATATTACACTCAAAAAAAATAATACCTCTACATCGTGAAGTACACACTCTATAGATCGGATTCTTTCAGAACCTTTTGTTTCTGGCAACGAACAACTTGAAGCACTCGAACCCTAATGAAATTCCAGCGCAGTCCTACGCGAAGTTGGTTTCCAACTACTTCGGAGTGGGTTCGGCTGCCATTGAAACTCTCTTTACAAGGTAGAGTAGAAAAGCAAAAATGTATTTGAAGGAGATAGGTTTTGAGTCAAGAATAATGGTGGATTTAAATAGCAAATTCTTAATGAATGCGACTGTTCGTATGTGACAACTTTAAGTCTAGCAGAATGCGACTGTTGATATGAAAATGTTCGATCGGGTATTATTAAACGAAATGTGTCAATTTATTCACTAATATGCGCACCTTAAACACGTTATAAACGTGTTATTACTACTTTACCTGCGTGCAGTTAATTCTTAATATGCGTTGATTACACTTTTAAAGTGCGCTACATTAAACCTTAATATGCGTAATACAGAAACAGAACGTGTGTTGGTTTATGTATAGAAACTTTAGTCCGTGGTAAATGCCAACATCTTTAAATGCGTCGATTAACATTTATCTTGAGCGACATTAAAGGTTAATATGCGTACAAAGACAATA